TATTTAGCACAGTTTTACCACTTTGCGCTGGCAAGCAACCTTCACCTTGGGTTGTAACAGTGGGCCTGAGTGGCTAAATTCACACATTTAGCAACTTGGATTTAACTACTGCATTGGAGATGCTCTTATGTTTGGGCTGTTGAAAGGTGGCCTAATGCAATCCTCTCAAGTCAGACCCCAGCTTCCAGGCCTAGGGGCTTGAATAGCCCCACACAAGCCCTCCATAGAGGGAATGACATGAATGGACATGTGCATGTACCCATCCTCTCACTGGTGACATGCTGTGACAGATCAGCAGCCAGGTCTGCAACAGTGTCAAGTGTTGTGACATTGATCAGCTTGAATTGCTGTGACAGACCCTGGTGGTGTTTCACTGTCACAGAATTTAGGGTTGTACCCCTGCACCCCTGTTCAACATTAGTCTGGGTGTTGCATCCCAGTGATTCAACACTTAACTTGTCACCTTTTGAGGAGAAGAGGAAGTGCAGGCTGAAGGTTACAAATCAATCTGGGCTCCATCATCAATGTTAGAGATGGCCCCGGCGCATCCGGATATCTGGCTGCTTTTTCCAGGGAAATTGCCATCCCCACCCGCTGGCGGGTATCCGTTGGCCGCAGCGGGTATTCACGGATACCTGCCCATTAAATTGGCGGCAAGGCAGCCGGCTGGAAGGAAATCCTTCCGGCCTTGGGTATCTCCGCCGGGAATTAAAGGAAAAGGGGGCATCCAGACCCAAATTTGCATCCTCTGGTGGGTATCCGCAACAGATACCCGGAGACCATCTCTAATCAATGTCAAATAACCATTGAGTCATTGTGTGGTTTTTTATTTGGATGGTCTTGCTCTTTTTGTACTACTAGTCTCAGAAAATCTGTCACTGGTGGCCACAGAGCATGCCAGATGGACATGCAGGCGAGCAGAGAAGAAATATGAGCTGGACCTTCCAGCTGTTGGATGTCCACAAAAAGGGTTGGGAGGTCCAGAAGCAGGGCATCAATTTCAGTTGGCCATGATTCCCACATGATGTTGTGACCAACTGGGTGGCCTGTTTTCCCTGCCAGAGCCCATCTGGCATCTAAATGTGGGACTGTCTCCTCTGTGGCCCTACAAGAGCTGTTGGATGGAAACAGATAACTGATAGATGATACAACATCCTGAGATTGGTGGTCCCTGCCAAAATGGACAATGGACCTCAGAGACAATGTATGGACACAGTCAGCTTTGAGTTGAATTGCTCAACCAATGCAGATGCTCTAACACCTCAAAAATCACTTGAGAGTAGCTCTGTGGACCTGTTGAATAGTTTAACCCAGAGATACAAGGGATATATTGCAAAAGGTAAAAATCTAAAAGCAACAGAATCAAATCAAGCAACCTCTGTGAGGGAAGATGTTATGTGGAAAATTTCAATAAAAAGTGCACAGGTTGAAGCTTTGCCTGTGAAAGCCTGTGTGGTTATTTGTTAGGTATTGAGTAAGAACTACCTTGATGGGTTACTGTCTATAAAACAGGATACTGATAAGTTTTGGGAATTTCAAGGCTCTTCAGGTTCAGGGATTTGCTGATAAAACCTAAAGAAATGTTGACTGCAAGCTTTCAACTAGTTCAGGGATTAATGCAATATAATTTGAGATGCTGTTTTGACAGTAGATGCTGGATGTACAGTCTCCTCCCAGATGTTTATAGCCATGTGTTTTGAGCTCCACACCTGGAACCCAAAAATTTCAAGTCACAAGAGTTGGGGGAATGGGGTAAAATGGGTCTCAAAGAATGAATATGAAAAAATAATAATGATAAACAAGATTATAAAATTTGTAAAAAGTAAAAGGAGAAAATCACAAAAACTGACAGCTCTGATATTTCTTTCAGGAAAAGATGAAATCTCCCAAGTGATAGTATGAAATCTGAAATGAATAATAATAAGTGGAAATTTGGATAAAAATGACTACTTGGTGGTTTAAAAAGGGTGTCTGGGGGGTCATTCATCAAGAAATGTGACATTCTGGTACTTCAATCTACTGATTTTGACTGCAGGGTGTCCACCCACCATGCTCAAACTTTTTTTGGATCAATATTTTTCATTTATAATCATTCTTTTCATGCTCCAAACTTGCACTCTGTGGGTTCACTTTTCACTCAAACAAAAAATTAAAGTTTTCAAAAAAAGTTGATTTTCTTTTATCTTTTTCTTTGAAATCTTGATTTTTATTATTATTTTTTCATATTCATTCTTTGAAACCCATCTTCCACCATTCCACAGACTTTTGTGACTCAAAGTTTTTGGGTTCCCGCTGTGGAGCTCAAAACAGATGGCTATAAACATCTGGGAGGAGACTGTACTTCAGGACTGAGAGGAATAGAATACTTATTAGGGGGGTTCACGATTGAACTTTAAGGCCATTTTTAAGGTGTTTCTGATCATAAATTTACAAGTTTTTTGTGATGTACAGAAGGTTCAGAGACCAATAAATCGGAAAAACTCAAAAAATTCCTAAAATGTTGCTCATAAACACCTTAAAAATCACTCTAAAGTTCATTTGTGAACCCCCATGTTGGGTAATGTTATCTCTTCTTGGATTTCTGGGGAACATGAAAATAAAATGGAGCAAAAGCTTATATAGTATGTACAATGCATGATACTGTATAAGCATAAAGAGATAAATTGAATATTGAGATAATGACTATTGTACTATTAGTCTGTGTAGTAACTGGAACAGTAGCTGGTGAGAGGAGAGGTATTGTGAGACATACTTGCAGACTGGTGTTATTTGTCCTTGGGAAAATGTTTGAAATTAGGCCTGCCTATTGCTGAAATGAACTATACAAGAGAATGATGAGTTGAAGGCTAAGTTCATGGCACTGAAGAGAGGAAATTAAAGACAAAATGAAGTAGGGATTAAAACAAGAAACTACTAACCTGAAACAGACAATCATGGATTGAAGAGCAAAGCCCTTGTAGAGGATTTTAGAGCCTGAGTGTTTTTTTCTTACTATCTTAGTAGAATGAAATCAGCTGACTAAATTGTCCTTATATTGGGGCCTAAGCATTTACCCTGTAAAGATAACAAAAGTGATTTTCTTTGTCATTATAGCTGTGCAGATTTGAATAATTTATGTGTTTAGAAGATCAATAAAGATAACAGAAAATAATCTGATAAATTACAAAACCAATCATAGTCAAGTAAATTGAAAGCAAATCAAATTAAATTGAACAAAGGACTTTGTCAAGTGAGGGGGAACTGTGAGGGGAGTTGAAATCTGTATATCGGCCATTAAGTGTTGGAGTCGCGCGCTGCCATCAATCGTTGGCTTGATGGATTGCTGCATAAATATGTGGTTGAGGTTAGGGGTACGAACACAAGGTTGTGGGTGTACTACATACAACAGTGCATGCGCAACGATTTTCAACCGTCCCTTTCGAAAGCTCTTACGTCAAATTTCCAAACAGAGCGTTGATTGAACAAAAACCCAAAAGAAAACTCGATCTTTGAATTTCAAAAGCTTCTCAAAACATTTTCAAAACAATTCAAAAATACTTGTTTTTAAGTGCCGCCTCAGGTTTCTTCAAAGAGAAGAGGGATTTTTTTCAAAAAACTCAAGTGTTCCTTGGCATTTTTGTGAAGAGTAGAGAGTTTCTGGTACATGATTGCGACTTGACTGTTGATCTCACCCATCCAAGCCATCACATTTATAGACTGTGCTTCTTTATCAAAGATGTTGTTCTGTCGTTTGTGACGTGTTCTTCTGCCAGTGCAACTACATAGCTTGTGAGCACTGACAATGGTATGTTTACAAGCTTCCTTGTTCACCTCAATATGATGAAGGTGCTTGCTTTGCTTTCTTCCTCCCAATTGCCGGAGATCAACATTGGACTGGAAAATAGAATTCACTTTGAAATCTCAAATAAACTGTCCTTGTGCTCCGCAAGGCTAGTCGACCGCTTCTTTCCCACTTCATCAGTTTCAGTTTGTTGGTCATCTGAACTTTCTCTTTGTTGGGTTTTAGTTCGTTTGATTTCGTTTCGTAACGGTCGGGCGGGAAAGAACCCCAACATCTCGGAAATAGCTTATCAAGATCATGCTGTTCAGATTCCTTGGCGTTGACATGGTCTGCTCTATAAGGCACTTGAGGGCAATGGCCAAATTCAAAATTTACGCAAACGCTTTGCCATTATAATATATGCAGCAACAGAACCATAAAGATTCACCGAGTGGCTCTTCGTTTTCTTAGAAAAATACGTTGGCTTGCGGCTTTGAGTTGAGGGCAGCGGGCCCTAATGGCTTTACCGCGAAGCCTACGTAGCTTGGGAGGGGCTCTTAGGGCTGCCGATGTTATCTTCCGGAGTAGAGCACTGCCTTGATAAGATAGTCCACCTCCCTTGATAGGCTGCTTGTGGGCGGGCAAGCAGGTGGAACTTGAATGGATCAGGGCGGTTACATATGGCTGTTTAGGGTCAGTGGCTCCATGGGCAATATCCAACATCATCAATTGTTTATTAAGGATGGGGTTTCCATCTTTTTCTGTTCAAGAAATCCTTCCCCATCCTGAGTAATCCTCCGCCACTCTCGTCCCACTACATCGGGCCCCATCCTCCCCTGTCACCCCATCTAATATATACTGGAAGTAATCCAGCTTCTTTCCTCCCACCTCGTTCTTCATCCGGTCACCTGCGCACTCACCGCCCCTTCTGAATTTCTAATTCAATTAGAAAGAAATATCAATACCACCGCAAGAAATCAACATTTTTCTTGAGTGCTCCATTTCCAAGTATCTTGTTAGACATTTAGTTTACTTCTATCAATCAGAAGAATCCAACCCTTCGTTCTTGTCTTTTGATCACTTCACCGTTCGGACTCGTATCTCTTTTGTTCTTATCATTCAGAAGGACCCGTACTTTTGCTCTTGTCTTTTGATCATTCCGCTCATTAGACCCGTGTCTTACTTTTTCTAACTCAATCGCGGCAAAGAAACCTCGAAGAAAAAATCTTCCAAGCGAAAAATGGCAACTACCGAACGAAACTGTAAGCTTTCTATCGATATATATTTTCGTTCAACAGATTACGATCACAAGATTGACTAGACACTTTAAACTCTTTTCAGTTTTCATCCGCATGGCCTTGAGACATTTGATGTATTCTGCATCACATGCTCAGAGCGTCTACGATATGAATCGAGACGTGGGATTGACCAGCCTATTGGCCATACACTCGCGCCTCTTACCGTTGTTTCGAGACCTGATCATTAAGCTAGTCTCATCATTAGAGGTACTTGACTTCGAAAATGAACCAATTCCCGAGCTCTCACTATTTCCAAAGTTTGCAGAATTGCAGCATACTATGGAACAAGCCGTTTCTGCTGTCGTTTCCGTTGCCCTTCGCCCCGATCAGCCCGACATAGAGGTGGACGGAAACTGCAAAGATTTCAAAATATTCCGAACTTCTCGTTTGCTAGAGGACATCAGGGAACTACAGGATCTCAACTGGGCCCTTTTCGAGGTGCTATCGGAACTCATTCAAGGCCCTGCGCCCATCGACGACCCGGACACGGAGCAAAACCCGGTGGACAACCAAGATCAGGATATTGGCGCAGGCTGGCGAGTCATCGATGATCCGGACCCTGACCAAGTTTGGGTAACTAACCCAAACCGGCTGGGCAACCAAGAGTGGGTTGGCAACCAAGACTGGTTTGGCAACCAAGACTGGGGTGGCGTCCAAGACTGGGGGGATAACCAAGATGGGGGGGCCAACCGAGACTGGGCGGACAACCATGACAGGTGGGAAGACCCAGACCAAGAGCGCAACCCGGGCAACGACAATGCGAATGCTGAGCAAGCCAATGCAGACGCTGAGCAAGTCCCGGAGGACACGGATGCACAGAACGCCGAGAGCTCCGGAAAAGAAGAAAGCTGGACGTCAAAGAAAAAACGGGAAATGATCTCGAGAGCGACTCTCTCGACAAATTTTATCGATGCAATGATTCGACGTTGCAAACAATCCGACTTTGCCCTCCTTCACGAAACCTGGCAAGCCGCGATTGGGGACATCGATCATGCACTCTCATTCTTCTGCGGGAAATCGCCTGATGGAATAAGCAGAAGAGACGACATAGCTCGACTGACTCGATCCGCCATTGCGCTCATGAAAGTCACGAGGGTTTTCTACAGCAGGTTGTCGAATACCTCGACGCATCTATTGCCATTCACATTGCCCCACGATGTGAGCTCTGACGAACTCGAATTGATGCTATGGAAGACGGCGCCGTTAGCTCGCATAATTGATGATGAGTTATTCGTCCTGATACGTGAAATCAATTGTGTCAATACGATAACAATTTGGCAGCAATCTATCATTACTCAGATAGTTAGAGAGATGCACAAGGAGTTCACAGTTGCTTGGACGTTTTTGAAGAGATATCTTGTTCCCTTGACTCCCAAAGCCGGTCATCCCAGTTCAGCTCCGTTTGTTTTTGATGATCACTTTCAGGATTTAAAGGATCAGTTTTACCTCGCCTGCGACAATACCATCGAGTTCGCCGACAAAGTAGAAGATCCAGAGTTCTAAGTGAAGAAGAGACATTTGTATATTATCTGTTTTTTATTCTCAAATCCATCTAAAATTTAAAAGATCTCGATATAACAGCTAGAATAATGCATGTGTCGATGATTGTGACATCGCGAGAGGATCGGGATAGTTCCCCAATTATGTAGCCTTTCCCCCATAGGGGATATTCCTATTGAGAGCGGAATTGTAGCTGGAGTCTCCAGGCATATCAAATCCCTGGTCACAAATTAGCTGTCAGGTGATGATTATGCGAAGCGGGTAGGATGAGGTTGGAAGAGCTTGCTGAAGTGAAAGGGTGGTGGGGACTCAACGTTGGATGATGATTAGACTTCTAGGCTGTCATTATTAGGAGTGTGGAAGCCTGAAGGGGGATGAAAGGTGGTACAATATTTAGGTCTACATGCAAATTCGCAAGATCCACCCAAACCTAGTAAGCACCGCACCCCACAGCAAGGTTTATCCCTGTTTATCCAGACTTCGGAATTCTTCCAAAATTGTGTTTCCATTGTCCCCCAGATATTTTATACTCACAGAACTTCCATCTCATAATCGTGAAGAATTATCTTTGTAACAGATCAATAAAGATACATAACTGAAAATAAACCAATAAATTATAAAACAAATTATAATAAATAAAATCAAAAGTAAATCTAATTCAAATCAACTAAACTTAGTTGCTCAGAAGTAGATGATAAAATCACAGCCATGGAATAGTAATTGACTCTGTCAGTCACCTCAATAGTTGAACAAAACACCTATGTATTTCCTCCTTGTTCATTTTCCCTAACCTGTAATCCCTCTTTTCCACAAGTGAGCCAGCCCTAAAAATCAACATATAAAGAGACATCCTCTACCTATCCAAGACAATTTTGCTCAGTGCCATCAGGAGCCACAACCAAGATTTATACCTCTTTCACACAGAAAAAGCTGATCATCTAAAATAGCATTTTATTCAATATCTACACTGATAGTTAAAGTTTTAAACAATACCTATCTAGCCAGTCTGATCTCTCTAAAAAGATTCATATTATTTTTTTCCTTTGCCTCTTCACTCTTACAGCTCTGTACAAACTCCTGTGGTCATATATATCATATTTTTGATTGTGCTAGTTCAACTTCTAGAAGCTACCTAGTCTGTTGCTATTATTTTTCCCTCTTATAACCAGCACTGAGCACCTGTTGATTCTTACATTTCCCTGATGATAATTTCAGGATTTACATTGAATTAATTCCAAGCCAAAAGTTAGATTTAGACCCAAAACATTAGGGCAATATAGCTTTAAATGCTCCTGATTAATTCTGGAAGGCCAGCAGATTATGAAAAGAATTCATCCAGTATTACATAAAACACTGTGAAAAAAGCCTTGACACCTTATAATAAAAAGGAGAAGGGAAAAAAGGGGAGAAAAAGATGCAAGAAAATGATTGAGAGGAAAGACTTGACCTGTCTATGTATGAGAGTGTTTCCATTGGCTTGAAACCCTTGAATATGTAAGCAGGTGAAAAGAAGCAGGTGAAAAGTAGATATCAATCTTGGTAGGAGAGCTTTATTTGTCCTACTAAGCAAGGCACCCTAGCAGGTTATTGCTGTATCAATAGAGTGATAAAATTATTAAATGGCTGTGTTGTTGAAATGTGCACTTCAAAATTAGCAAGGGCTTTCCAAATCATTGAACATGCATCCAAAGCCAATAATGAACTGCTTCTGCCTAAGGATGTGGTTGTGAGTGTGCACCTGTATGTATCCCCCAAGCCATCATTCAATTTCAATGGAGAACTTCCTGTAAAATCTGTGTATATTCCTTGCAGCATGATCATTTAGACCTGAAAAGCTATTTTTTTTTTCTGGGAAGATAGCTTGACATCCTGTAAATATGTACTATAGATGTAACCAGGTTGAGTTCTCATACTACTATATTCTTTAAGTATAGCCTGCAAAAGAGCTCTGGCAAGGATCTTTTTGGATTTGTTTTGGATTTACCTCCGGTATTCTTCTGGGAGAAGTCCAAATACATAGGTCAGAACAATTATCAAGAAATTGTATTTGAAGTTTTCTTGGATCTTTAAAACATCAGATTTGAAATGCCTTTCAAGTTTATGCCAGAAGTTTTTTTTCCATCTAGCAAGATTGGAAGAAACCTTATCTAATAAATGTAACCTGGCTCCTTCATCTTTTCCCCCTTGGAATCAATAAATCATTATTCTCATTAATGCTCATTTACCCATCACAGTTTCTATCCCCCTTCTAATTATTTGCCCAATAATTTTATTTCTCAATCAAAGTGATTGGTGTGATGAAGGATCCCAATCCACTGGTGGGATGACTTCACACCAACAATATTTTATAATTGGTTATTTACAAGAGGGTGGATGTTGAAAAGAGATGGTTATAATCAGCATCAAATATGTCTGTTCTGCACAATGTCGCTCGGTTTGATCGAGGTGAGGATGATTACGTCAGCACTGAGTTCGACCTCTCAGCCTCTGCCTGCGCCCGCTCAACCTCTCCAGCATTCAGCCAGTGCAGCCTGTTGACCATCAACCTACCAATTAAGAACCAACCACTGCATACCATCCCACAAACAATGATGGCTGAACCTCAACACATCAACCCACCTCAATTCGACCCTGCACTCGTCCATCACTCTGGTCTCACCGGAATGCATCCACTCGCAGTAAGAACAACAGCACCATCAAGCAATAAACACCCTTGTCTGAGCCACATGTAGTCCTCATGAACTTCGATCTCTCCTCTCTCTTGACAGGTCTTGATCGACGAACTCAAATCCGATGACGTCTCGGCCCGTCTCACCTCAATCCATCGATTAACCACCATCGCACTCGCACTGGGCCCTCAAAGGACACGTGATGAGCTCATCCCTTTCATCACCGAGGGCATGGACGATGAAGAGTTCGTCAACCTCCCCATCAGAAAAAAAAAACAAAAACAAAAAACACGCACACTTCTGACCTGTTTCTCTTCATCCGTCATATAGTGAGGTCCTCCTCGCATTGGCAGGCGAACTGAATGCCGCTTTTGTCGAGTTCCTCGGCGGCCCCGAACATGCGCATCTTCTGCTCGTCCCACTCGAAAACTTGGGAACAGTCGAGGAAACTCTGATTCGCGACAAGGTTTGCTATGACCATTGAACTTGCATAATATTGACTAAAAGAAATACACGCTTGAATCAGTTCACCTTATCTCTACTTTGGTTTCGGTTCTTTTCTTAGGCTGCCGAATCTCTCACCCAAATCGCAGCACTTCTTTCACCTCAGCAGCTTGAGGAATACTACGTACCTGCCATGAAACGACTCAGCGTTGCCGAGTGGTTCACCAGTCGAGCGGTTAGCAATCCCTAGTTGAACTATCACCTACCAAGGGCAATCTCAAGAGCATCTGAGATCACATCTTTGAATCGTCTGACTAACCCCTCCTCCAAATCCACAGACCTCTACTTCTCTGTATGCTGCAGCATATGCTAAGGTATCTGATACCACCAAGGATGAAATGAGGAGAATGTACTCTGCTCTATGTGCCGATGAGACACCCATGGTCCGAAGGGCAGCTGCCAAGGAACTGGGGGTAAGTAGTAGTCAAACTATCATTCTTCATGCTGGGCAAGTGGCTAATTCCACGACGATTCTAGCCATTTGCCAAAGTCTTGGCCCAGAATCACTTGGTCGCCGATGCGATCCCAGTCTTCCGCAAGCTAGCCGCAGATGATCAAGATTCAGTGCGTCTACTGACGGTCGATGCGCTGATTGCCATCGCCTCCTCCTTGCCGGATAAAGCCGTATGCAAGCAACAACTAGGCTCGACGATGAAAGCCATGGTTAGCGACAAGAGCTGGAGAGTCAGATACATGATCGCCGACCACTTCGTCCAGTTGGCCGAAAGCGCCGGTGAGGATGTCGTACGGGAGGAACTCGTCGGGGCTTACGTTCACTTATTGAAAGATAATGAGGCCGAAGTTCGAACCGCAGCTGCCGGTCAAATTCCAGGTTGGCCAAGAAAACCCTGACCACCATGATTCTATGATCCAATTCGACTGATCCATGTTCCTCTGGGTCTTATTCATTTATAGGTTTCTGTAAACTGATCGACAGAGAGGTCATCCTGTCACGAGTCTTGATATGTGTCAGAGAATTAGCATCAGATACTTCGCAGTACGTCCGAGCCGCGCTCGGAACTCAGGTCGCTGGATTGGCGCCTCTTCTGGGTAAAGAGGCGACTATCGAACACCTTCTATCCCTGTTTCTACAGTTACTCAAAGATGAATTTGCCGATGTCAGATTGAACATCATTTCAAAGTTGGAGCAAGTCAATGAAGGTAAGCAACTCGCCTGTTTCAAATGATTTCCTCCAAAGAAATTGAAAATCTGAAGTAAACCTATTGATTTGTGAATGAGAACAGTCATTGGGATCGAGTTACTATCACAAGCCTTATTGCCGGCCATCATGGAATTATCGGAGGACAAGCAGTGGCGAGTTCGTCAAGCGATCATCGAGTACATTCCACTCCTAGCCACCCAACTCGGGGTCTCGTTCTTTGATGACCAACTGGCGGGGCTATGTATGGCATGGTTGAACGACGCAGTCTATAGTATCCGTGAGAGTGCGACGATCAACCTCAGGAAATTGACGGAAGTGTTTGGAGTCGAATGGGCTAAAGCTACGATCTTACCCAAGGTCTTGGCGATGGCTAAGGATGCTAACTACCTTCATCGAATGACTACTATCTTCGCCATTCGAGTGAGTCGCGTTGTATACCTCCCTCTCAAGAACATGATCTGCAAAGCGGAATATGCTAATTCTTATGCATCTCGTATATTTTCGTTACCAATTCACCACAGACGATGGCGCCAGCATTAGATGTTGAAGTGATCAAAGGCCCGGTATTGGATTCGGTGATCAGTCTAGTTAGCGATCCGATCCCAAACATCCGTTTCAACACGGCCAAGGCATTCCAGACGCTAGCGATCACCGTCGCCGGCCAGCCCGGTGGTAAGGAAGTGGCACGGGATAAGATCCTGCCCAACTTGGCCAAATTGCGCGACGACCCTGATGCGGATGTGAAGTTCTTCACCGAGGAGGCTCTTGCTGATGCCGCCGCTGTCGCCTCTGGTGAACAGGCAGGCGCTAGAGATACTCAAATGAAATAAACATCTATCAGATCTAGATCTCTCTTGCTCTCTTTGCTCTCTTTCTGCATCCTTATCTATTCCTCCTCCTCCTTTCCCCCTCTTTGCCATTCTCTTATTATATACTTGATCCATTTTTTTTTTCTGATTGTTGTTGTCCTAATTAATCTCGACTTACTTGCCTTTTGTTTTGATTGTTTGGCCTTTTCATTTCTTTTGCTTTTTCCTTATGAAAAAGACAACAACAACAACAACAACAACAACAAAATTCACTCCATTCCAATTCTTTTGTTTCTTTGTTTTCTGAATACTTACTCAAAATAAAATACAAAAACTCCATTTGAATCATCATCATGAAAAGATTTTTAGTTTTAACATCCATATATTGAATCACAAAAAGAGAATGATTTTGTGTGTATACATATACATCTACATACACATAACATAAATGAAGGCATAGAATTTGATGGACTTCTGGTTGATTAACTTGATTCTGATTTGATTTGAAAAAAAAAACATGGATACATCTCAAGAAACAAACCCAAGCTGATTGGATACAAGAATGTTTATTTCTGCTTCATTCCTGATATGCACACATCCAGTTCTTGATAGGCTATTTTACTATACTATGGTCAAGTTGATATTGTTTGATCTGGATGGTCATGGCGAATGCATACACAAGAAGAAGAGATACACTGTAACCCAGCCTATCTTTACAGAATCCTTCTCTCTTTATGTCCCAAGGAAAGAGCCCACAGCTCCTCAGACAAGACGAGTGATAACTTGCCAGCAACCAATGGAAATCACTTGGCGTGTCTGGCTTCCCCTTGGCCACCTCTGGTACAGACTTTTTTTTTGTCTTGCGTTTGGAGACTAGCAGCTTTGATGATGAAGTGTTTGTGGAGTTGACACATGTCTTTCTGGCGCCCATTCAAACAAGTCCTTACAGCTCTTTCCAAACCCCATATCTTCCGGTCAACTAGTGAGCAATTGACGGTTAATTATGTCAAGCCTTATTTTATTGATCATGCGGAGCAAAAGAACTGGGGAACAGAAATGGCAGGCCATGTTTTTTTTTTTCTGGGCTGCACTATCAGAGCTGTAAAACAACAAAACATATGTATGCTTTTTCCTCTGATTTGGGGTTGTAATTTGCCAAAAAAAATGTGACTGGAAAAATGTGGACAATGATTGAGTGGGTGTGGGGTCCAGTTTACTTCCAGCAACAATGGGCAGTTACTCTACCCATAACAGGTAGAATACGAACAAAGTAACAAGTTTTTGACGGTTAGGAATTTTGGAGGTCCCATGTCCAATAAAGCTGCCAGGGGAGCTATGGTTTTACAGGTTGTTACAATACAATATGGGGTTTGTGAAAATTAAAAAGTCAACTTTCAAGTGACAAGTCCCTGTAAAACCAAGGGGCTGTAAATCTGCACAATTCGTTGTGAGAATTGAATTTTACAAAGAAATCATCAAAATTTACCATCCTTAAAGATGAGCCCGCAAATATGTGCTTGCAAATTTCTACCTCTGGAGCCGCATAGACAGTTTCACACCTTCTTGGTCACAATGTCCCTCACTAGGCTATTTAAATGTGCCAAAACCTACCCTGAGGTTGAATTTCACGGACAGCCGATTGCAAAGAGCTTCTTTTTCCCCTCAAATTCAACCTCAAGGAATCGTGACATTGCCCATATCATGCCTATATGTATCCAACAATCTTGACTTTTCACTCTCCCATCCTCAGTTTCCATTTTTCCTACCGTTCTACCTGATTGCCAGTCCATCCAATAGCACTTTTTTCTCTAACATTCTACCCACTGCCCATTCCCATCCCGCGAACTCACTCATTCTCTCCAGCCAATCGCTTTGCTCTTTTCTCTAACATTTTCTTTACAGCCCAACCCATCCACACCCAATAATCTCATCGATACCCCCTTTAGAATCTGTTTCAATCCTTCTCTATCATCCTAATACTGCCCTTCTCCATCCAATAGTTCTATTTGCTCAATCGAACCTCTTTATACATAAAACCCCACATCCAAATTTCCTTCGAGCCCTTCAAGTATAGCCATCATGCAATTGCCATCTCCCACACCATCCGCACCAACCACTGCAACTCCAGATCACCATCTAACTCACTGGGGATTTCCCTTGGGGAAAGATCAAGTAACATTCATCGATCATGATTGTATTATTGACACCGAGGGCTACCCACTTTATCCCAACAACAACACCATATTTGTACTACAACCTGGCACCGAGATCACCAACTTCGGCACAGTAGGATTTTCAAAGACCACCTCTTCTGAAATTTCAAAGGACCGACGCTGGAAAATATCCCGCGCGCACTGCCTTGGGGGTTATTGTCTGTGATTGTGAAGGTTGTGAGTACGCTGGACCCACCCCTACAGGCCAAGAGAAGATTGAGGAGCTCATCCGCACGTAAGTCTCAATATTCTGCTTCAAATGATTCTTTTTATGTATCAATTGCAAGATGCTTATTTTGTGTTTTATTTGCATCCTTCAGTAGGCCATGCTGCCCAGCTGCCGACTGCACAGGGAAGATCTACTGGAAGGAATGTCGCAATACCCAAACTAGGTTTGATCACGAAGTCAGTACTGGCTGGAGGCTGATGCGACACCAAGGATTTCATGACCACCCATGGCCAACCTCAAAGAAACCCGACCGTCTAGCCAGGAAACTGCTCGCCTTGGAAGTGGCCAAAAATCCAAAGGCTGGGGCTCTACAACTCAAGGTTTGGCTCAATCCTCTAACTTAATGATTTGAGTCAACCAGATCTCCTCGGACTGTTGCTAATGTTTTTTTTCTCGTGTTATTTATAGGTTGGAAACCCTGAGAAATCTCATGAACCCGACAATGGGATTGCCAGTATACATGGCTCGCTGGTAAATTCGGATCGACTCCGGCACCTTTGACGACAGATCCTTCGTGATTTAAACCTTGCCCCCAGTAAAGATGGAGACGGAGCAGGTGATAGATTCATGCATGACATGTTCACATGGGACGAGTTGAGTCAAAGCAAAAGTTCTCCATCCCTTTTGTCAGCGGTATCAACTAACCCCCAGAAATACTTGAGAAAGACGTGGCTTGGCAGTCATTTCAAGTTCGTTTAGGCACGGGAAGGAACACTTTACTTTCCAGACCCCCTGGATGGCAGCACGACTTTTGGACAAAACAAATGATGGGTAAAACACGGCCAGTTTCTACCAGGGCGGCTTCATCTCAGACGTTACATATCGTTACTTCAAGTCCGGATACTTACTCACCACATCGATGTACTGCCAGAAGATCAACCGTTGGATTCCAGTACAGCTCAGCTGGATACGCGGCCTTTCCGAGATCTACTATCACATTCATTTTGCAGTTCTTTTCAAACAGTTCATACGGCCCGAAATATTGGTAGAAGAGCGAGAAGCTCTGGCAAGGAATGTTGTTGATTTCTCGCTTGCTCAAATGGAGGGGTTCATATCAGCATATCTTGAAATATTTGGTGGTACAGATCGGGTCACCGCACGCAACAAATTGAAAGGTTGCAAACAGCACTTCCGAGCCTCTGTCACTCGAATCAAACGGAATTGGGCCGTGATCCAGGCTGACGAAGTTGTGAGTTCCAATTCTGATTACCATCCTCCATGCCATCTTTTTTGACAATGATTTTAAGTCCCTATTTGAATCAATGTGCGAGTCATTGCTACTTCGAAATGAAGATGGCGGCCCCACCCACGGCAAAAAAATCGATGCCTTACATCGCCAGTTCCCCAAGGTGCGCAGGTGGATTGACTGGTGGACTACGGCAGACATCGAGGCTATGCTTTTTCCCAGCCGGCGTCAAATGTTGGACGACAGTCCCAACACCGATGACGGTCTTCCAGATACAACAAATGCACAAGAGAGCATGCACAGAGTCTACTACATGCTCAGGTCAGTGGGATTGATTTCTTACACCACGTCTCTTCACCTATAATTTCATAATAACTAAAACTACTGTTTAATTTTTTTATAGCACGGGTAAAAAATCTCTCATGATTGGGATGATTGAGCTCTATGCATTTGTCACGGCCCTGGAGAAGGACTGGGTACAAGTCCAGCGAGGCATTCCGATTGCTTATGGCTCCCTTCCGGCAAAACAAGTCAACATTTCGCAGTCGGTTGGATGGAACAAAGCAACTAAGAGACAGAAAGCCGCTTGGAACGATGGCCGAGCCCCAGACACAACCGAACAGCTCCTTGCGGCATCCGAACAACCAATGAAACGTGCCAAGTTAGGTAGACCGAAGAATTCACCAAATGTCAACAAGGACCCTCAGTCCACCTATGTCTCCTACGGAGCTTCGACTAGTAAGCTGGCGCGCAATCGATGTTGGCTTGCGGCCGCGTTAGAATCGCTTTATGCAGTTTACAGCCCACTGTGGCTCCAAGAACCCGGTGGAAAACAGAACGATCTATTCTTTGTACTCGTATCCCACTTCACAACACGGTCAACTTACGAGATGTGCAAGAGCCCACAAATACGTTCAATCCTAACGCGCGGTTCAAACAAGATATTTATCGAGACACAGAAACTTTACCCACTCAACTTTATCTCTGGGGCCTTTTCCTCATGTGATTTATTTTTGGAACTCGTCTTGGACGTCAAGAAGAATAAGTCCAAGACGCTACCAAAGTTGTTTTGTGTCCAGGAAAACCGATGTGGTAAATAATACTGTGTTTCTACGCAGAAAAATATAAAAAATTTATTATTATCTCTTTATATATTATAGATATGGTAAAAAGGACATCAGAAATGGATTTCTCAGGTAAAATTAACCCTAGTCACCCACTACAACTGACCCCATATCTCTCATAGTTTAGAAGTTACACAGGTTTCAACCTGTCACGGGATATCTTTTGGATTCTTTACTCATAGTATGGCTTGTTTTGAATACTGGATGCATATTGAATATTGAATTCCTTTGTGGTGTTTTGAATTCCTTTATTGGCACATAGTGCATATTGAATTCCTTTGTAGGTGCACATGCATTCCTTTGTAGTAGGACCTTGTAGGCTAGCCAAATTCCCTCAAGGCAGTGCTCTCACCAGCCAAATTCCCTCACCTGCATGTACTAGACTAGCTAAAATCCCTCATTGGATCTTCAGGCCAGCTAAAATGCCTCAAAAGCCTGTACCCTGGGGCTAAAATCCCTCACATTTGTCTATATAAGGAGGCCTCTGCCTGCCAGTTGTTCCCTCCAGGATCATTCCACCAGAGGAGCGGATCATCTCAACCCACATTACAGATTATATACAAGTGACAGCCATAACAACACATTATATTGAAATACAACCATAACACTTTCATCATCATAACAAGTGCCAAGTGCCATAACCTGCCTCACATACCATTACTGGTTGAAGCATAGTGCTCCCAGAGCTCCGCGCCTTGGCTTTAAAGCTTTGAACAACAGCTTCATCAATATAATCATCACTCATTTATAACTTCAGACCTTATAAACATCACTCGGAAGCTTCATCTTGAACTATCCTCTATCACGATAAATATAACTGCCAAGCTAAGCTTGGTGGTCTTGTTGTTCTGATAGCATAGAAGGGCAGAGCTTGCAACTCCATCATCCCCTTCTCCATTCAGCAAAAGGGTTTTCATAACCACTTTTGAGTCTTACACCGATCCTTCACTTGTCCGCTCCACCCTGGGCAACAGCAACATCCCCGAGGCTCTCGCCAGCTAGGTTTCCTGAACATCACAAAATCGATGTTTGAATCAAATGCAATCGACTGTACAAACGCAGCAGAGCTGATCAATTGATGGGCCACCGGGGGCCTAGACGGGACCTCTGGACTACAATGCTCGGCATGTAACAGCAAGCCATCCTGTAACACTTCACCATCCTCCAACTACCTACTTGAGAGGTCTACAATCTCGATTATCAATGGTGCACCTCCGGCACATTTACACTTTCATGTCAATGTGGCATTGCTCTCCGCAGAGGATGAGCAAATTCAGTTTATGGGGGCAATCCATTGGCCATTCAAACTGAGATTTGCCGGGGAGGAATACACCTTGATTTCTCGTGGCTTTTGGGGGAATTCCCATTACTGGGGGAAGGTCTTGAGACACATCAATGGTGTCACCGCCGTGTGGATGCACGATGACCGATCAAATGCCGGGATTGCACAATTGGTCGACCGGGTTCCGGGCAGCATTAGCGGCGCACAACCACACACCAGCTGGTTGATCTACTCTCGAAGGTGGACTTCGGATGAGAGTGCCTTTATCGACCAAAGCATTGCAAATATCCAGCGCGACAACCCCACAGCAAAAGCAGATGATATTCCTTTCATCAATATGGGGGCTGTGCTCCAAGCTACCTACGATTCTGCTTTGCCTCATCTTACACAAGGGCGAACAACCCAGGATAATTCTACCGTAGCGATCACACATTCACATGGTGAAAACAAACGGCAAGGTGTGTAATCATATCGGTCTCTCTCTGAATTTATCAACTCGAGCACAACTGAACAATTTCTTGTTTCTTTTATGTTTACTTAGATGCTGAACATATGCTACCACCGGTCAATTCAAATTACGAGGGCCTGAAGATTCGCATACGAAGGATCCAAACAGACGTTCACTCTCCTTCCATCCCTGCGGAGTTAGCTGTCAATCGTGGCGGTGGCCCCAAGGAGAATGCAACTGCAACAAAAACCTACCCAACTGTGTTGTCCTCGGCCCCACCTCTTGATTCTGAAACGCAAAATTTTGTGGAACAGCCTCTTTCAATGGAACCACCAGAAAAGCCGAAGAAAAACACAGAGCCACATCGGGCCAAGCCTCGCGTTTTTGCCGGAAAGACCAAGAAACCCAAGGCGCTGCTTGGTCGGCCAAAGGCCAGGAAACTTGCAGACAAGAAATTCATCCCGGAGCCTTTGACTGACGCCGACTGGGCTCGCATATCGGCCACTTATTGGAATAACCGGCGGAAGGAGGAGGAGATGTTGTTGGCTTTGGGTTCAAAACATGCGGCAGCGACTGGATCAAGTAAAATGGTGGAGACGGTCGATGATCCTGATCTCACTGAGACAACTCAACAGAATTCACGAGCCCCTGGCGCGAAAGCCGTCCGTCGGTCTGCAAGAAACCGCCGTGTGTGATGAGAAGGGACTGCAACTTACTCTTTTTCTGTTGATTATTATTATTATTTTTCTTTCATTAGCAAGTTCAGAGCCTTTGTCTCTTTTTTTTGTGGTTGTAATGCTAGGTTTTCATGCTAGAAGGCGGTCCCCCCACCCAATGAGGTGTTGGGGTTTTTTATCAATTTTTGGGTAGTGTTTTTTGTATGGATTGCATGAGTTTGTAATATTGTCAGTGTAAATTTGAATATTGTGTTTATATTCTGCGGGTTTGCAAAGCCCATGTTTTACGGTGCTCAGGCTTTGTGCGCGAGTCTTTGCAACACTGAACAAGTGCTGGGTTTGTGAGCAAATTTACATGGTAATAATTGAGGTGAGTTGTCTTACAAAGGATGAAAGAAAGTGAAGCTTTGTAAATTTCAATTTAATTTGTATGTGGTGTAGTTTTGCAAAGAACGGGATTTGCAGGGTCTTGTCGCCTGGAAAGATACTTTTTAAATTTCCACATCCCCATACAATATCTGCACACTAAGTGGTAGATATCAAGTGAGGTAGCAAACAAAAAAGGCTGATTTAGCAATAATTTGGCCTTTTATTGTTCATCATCCCATTATCTGGGGGTAAAATGTTACTCAATTAGTAAAAACCTCAAAAAAGAGGGCCATTATCATACCCATTGCACCGGTTGCTGATGTATTATTATTAACACTAACTGCACACAACTTACAAGGTTAATGATGCAAGTTGCTTCACTTGGATATCCTCAGATATTGTCAAGTAAAGTAACAACCCATTTTTGCTTCCAGGCCATCCTGAACAATATCTGGCTTGTATCTTTGTCCATAACATGCTTAATGCCACAAAGATATTTTCCACTTCTGATGAGTGATGCTGATACATCTACTAGAGTAGAATCAATTCTGGGCCAGTTAGGCTGATAGTAGCATGAGTGTGGTGCAGTGGGGTGGAATCCTACTAAGCTTGAGCATAGCCCAGTGTGGAATTCTGACAGATCTATACTACATACATAAGGCTAAAACACACATGCAGGCCCCATAATCACAGACTGTTTACAATACAGTGTTTTGGATACAACAAGAGCACCACTGCTCATTTAAATCCACAGCAATTAGGGCCTGTACCTTAGCAACAAATTTTCACAAATCATAACTGAAGAATTCTTTACCTGGTGGAAAATTGAAATCACATACCACTGGGTACTCATTTAGTTGGAGTACAGTGGGTGGACTGTTATTTTTGGCTGCTTTTTTTGGATTGCAGTGTGTGAGCCTGGGTCTCAAAAGTGACGGCAGGACACAAGGATGGGGGGCAAAACTAGATGTATTTCTGAGAGATAAGGAAATACAACTAGAAGGAGAGGAAAAGAAAGAGAAGGAGAAAGAGAGAAGAAATGAATAATATTTTTGTTGTTTATTTATTTTAAAGTCAAGTCTTAGTGCAGTCTTACTTTCCTTAAGAGGATGGCTGTTATTTTAGCGGAATAAATCTACGCCTCCTAATCAAATGAAACTGAGAAGGGCTATTGGTATTGATATGTCAATCCAACCACTATTTTTTAGATCAAAGATCAAGGTTCTTTAAAGGGAAACCTATGTGGTTTTCAGTTATACCACCAAACAAAGAATAATGATGACTTAAAGAAGACTTGAATTGATGTGATGATGATGGAGGCAGGTATTCAGTAGAAACAGAATGAAGGGCTCCTTCAGAGAGACAGAGAAGAAACTTAGCAGAAAGATGCAAGCTGGGACTTGATGGAATGACTTACTATTTGGTGATCCTGACACTGAGAGTGGGAAGATT